GCAGTGAGGGCGCCAGCACTAATTGGCTGAGGTGAACTTTCATCCCTTGCCAACCCCATCCCCATGACTGAAAAGTCAGGCCAGGCTGCAGCTTTGGGGAGAGGGATGAGGGGCTCCTTCTTGTCTCATCTGAGCCCCCAAACCTCTACGCGTAGGCAAGTCATTTGGAGACACTGCCAAGGAGGGCTTTCTAGAACCTTCTTCTACATTCATTGTTCCAACTTCTCTTCTCTCTTCTCTTCCTCGGGGACTTTCTTACGGGCAAAGAAGCCAAGCTGTAGGGGAAGAGAGAAGAGTCACTACCAAAGGTCCTGACTGGGGACCTCGCCAACAACCTCAGACTGAAGTCTGCACTTCGTTCTGCTTCCAAGGAGATTAGATTTTATTTCATCCAGTGACTTGAGTTCAGCCAACATGTGTGGCGTACAAGTGAAGGAGATCCAGGCCCACAGCCCCGTCAGCGGCCCCATACTCATGCTGCTCTCCTAGCTAGCACCACAGATCCCCCAACTTACGGCCCCTTGCGGCACACTGCCCCCCAAAGCCAGGCTGACCTTCCAAAGGCAGAACACCAGGAGCGCAAGCAGGAGCAGGCCTCCCAGGGCACTGCCGATGAGGATCCACAGGGAGATGAGGACAGGGCGCGTCTGGGTCACCTCCAGGAGGCTCTGACAGAGAGAAGAGCTGCTGTTTACACGCAGCCTTCCATCCAGTGAGTTATGGATGGAAGTTATACCGAGTTATGCCCCAAGTTACACCGAAGCCGACCCCAGGCACAGGGGACGTAATGGCCTTTCTCTATTTAAGGGGAAGGCACTGAAATGTTTGTGGCCGTGGGGCCCCAGCCCCCTGGCTCACCCCTCCTGGCCCACCAACTGCTACCTGATGTGCTACCCAGGGTGCGCTCAACCCACCCCCACCCCCCTGGCTGTTTCTGTAGCTCTCTAACACAGCCCCCAGTCCCACCTCACTCCAGCGGGCAGCTTCAGTCAGCTGTAGGACACTGCCCTCCTCAGCGGCCATCTCGAAGGTGCTGACCACTGTCAGGGACTTGAACTTGGCCTGTGGAACAAGTGGGTGAGGCGGCATTTGAAGTGAGCTCTTGTCTGGTGGTATGGTCCTTTGGAATCTTCAGGACCAGAAGACAAGGTTGGTGACCAATGGGAAGATAGAGGAAGGCTAAGAGATGGGAAAAACCTTTGACTAAAAAAAAAAAGAACAAAAGAAACAAACAAACCTTTTGACACATCCTCATATATGCTTCATATATGCTGTTGGCTCTGCCTGAAAATGTACTCCACTCCACTCTCCTTTAGCTAGGAGCCCTGACGGTGCAGGGTTGCAAGCTGGGTTGCTAACCGCAAGGTCAGCAGTTTGAAACCACCAACCAGCTCTGAGGGCTTTCCTTAAAGAAGTCTCGAAACCCACAGGAGTAGCTCTACCCTGTCCTAAAGGGTCACCTTGAGTTAGATGGCAGGGAGTGAGCCAGATTCCGTTAGCTAATCCCCATCTCTCCTTTAGGTTGAAGTTTACATGTTATCCTTTCTAGAAACTATGCAAGGATTTCCTCCCAACCCCCACCACCCTGGCTCACCGACTGCTCTCTGATGTGATGTTTCTACTCTGAAAAGGCCCAGGGGTGCACTTACCCCACCCCCAGCCCCCTGGCTGTTTTGGTAGCTCTCCAACTCAGCCCCCAGTCCCACCTCGCAGGAGGCTATAGTAATTGGTTTAGTGTTCTCTCACCACTGCACTACAATTCTTGCAGGCAAGGGACATATCTTATTAATGTTTGTGAACACAGGTGCCTAATCTCAGACACCATCTCAAGTACACAGTTACTCCTCATTCAGCCCAGTCCTCTCAGCTACCCTGTGGGGCTCAGTAGCACTGCTCCACGGGGTTCCAGAGCTGGCCATCTTTACACAAGCACATGGCCTCCTCTTTCTCCCTGGAGGGGCCTTTTGTTCAGCAGCTGAGCGCTTAACCGCTGTGCCATGGGTCTCCTTGGGTAAACAGAGGCATATCTGGTTCCCCTGCCCCTCGCTTTATTGCGCTGCACAGCTAGTGTGATTTGGGGGATCGGCGCCATTCTTCCAACAGCATGTGCTCATTGCTTGTCTCCACGTCAGATTCTGGTCATTCTCACACGATTTCAAACGTTTCTATAATGCTATTGCTGAGTTGCACTTAATCAACTCAGAAGGGTATGAACATAACTCTCAAATGCACTGGGGAACAGAAACATTTATCTAACTCGCTTTACAACATGATTCACTTGATTGCAGTCGGTTAGAATCGAAGTCTGCCTGGAGAGGGTGAACAAATGCCACTGAGGAGGAATGCAGAGAAAGCCGGACTTGAAGAATCTGGTCTGCCAGATTTCACTTTTCTCCAATAACTGGGTCATCTTGTGTTGCTCAGTGTGGCTGGTTCATGGACAAGTATAATGTGAACACAGCACTACATCCAGATAGGCTTTCAGAAGCAAGATGCCACTTCTCTATCCAGAATTCACTCCTAACTAAGATCCATGACCTCTCCCAAACTTGAGGCCATTCATACTTTAGATCCCTCTGAACCAAATATTTCTTACTCCCCAGTACTTAGGGTCGCTATGCGAGGGACCCAACTCCAAGGCATCTGACAACAACCCCAGTACAAATCCTGTATGTAACATCAATAGTTTATCGAGCCCTTAACCAAAGTCTATCCGGCACCTACAGCGAGTTAGGCCTGGTGCTCAATGCTGGAGACATCCTCCTCACTGCCCTCTACTCAGCAGGCACTTACGTACCTGATGGATTATTGACTATTCTGTAAAGGCTAACCGATGATTGGCAGAGCCCTAAGGGCTGTAAACAGAGTAAAATACAAGGCTAACAACTGGCCTCTGTGCTTCCCATATGCCTATTTCATTCACTCTTCACAAGTAGGTCTTACCCCCAAGTTAGAGATGAGAGGCTAGGAGCCAATAGAAATCAGACACCTTGCTCAAGGTCAAACCACCGCCTATAGGAGACAAAGCTAGAACTGGAGCCTGTGCTGAGGTTCTAGACAGGCGCAGATGGAGAGAGGAGACTGGCGACAACTTACCCTCCGGAAGAATTCATTGTGAACCAGCCTCAGCAGTCCAACCGAGACCTCAGCTCCCTTTGCCAGCCGTCCAAGGTGGCACTTCACGACCTGACACCGGGTATTGCTCCCATTCTGCCAGGAGAGAGGGGGAACTCGGGACTCAGGTCTTCTCCCTGCTCTGGGACCCGCGAGAGCCCCCATCCCACCCGTCTCACCGCTCCCCGACTCCACTGGCCAGCCCCGCTCCTTCCTGTGACCCATACCAGTCTGCTCATGTGTTGAAGCTCCTCTGGGTGCACCGGGGCCCCTGGGGGCTCGGTCAGGTTCTGCACTGTGCAGCTTGCCTAGAGGAATGTCAATCCTGCTTCAGCAGCCCTCTTGAGGCCGAGGCCGCTCCCCCAGGCTGCTGCAGGGCCTCACCACCCGGCCTCCTGTAGTCCCTGCCCCCTGCCCAAGCCCGCCTTTCTTGGCAAAGTGCCACAGAGGAGGGGCTTCAGAACGTTTGTCTTTTGATCCCAATTCTGCACATTTTGAAAGCCGCCTCCTCAGCCCCCTCGCCCGCCAGATAGGGAGCTGTCTTGTGGGGGAGTTCACTCCAACAAGCTCGAGGTGGCAGGGTCCCACGGCCTCCCAGGCCACACTCACATTGTGGGTGATCACTTGAGACAGGGACAGGAAGTAACTGCCCCCGTGGGCCACCGCCGGAAGGAGGGCTGAGATGATGAGGCCCCTGACCACATAGCAGCCGAGGTTCCGCACCTAAGAGGGCGGTTGGGAAGGGGAGGAGGCGGGAGCCCGAGGACGACGGTCCCCTTTCACTTCAGACAGCACCCAGATCCAAAAGACACGCCCCCAGCCTTTCCCCTGCACAGCCCGCCCCCCTCCAGCTTCTCACCCTGAGAGTGGTTTTGAACTCGGGGCCAGGACCCACTGGGAGGGCCCCATATGGGTGAACCTCATAGCGGTGCAGGGTGGACTCACTGCGTGGACACCGAGTCAGTAAGGCCACGGGCAC